TCCTTCCTGCTGTAAGACTAGAGGTAGGTGATAGGAAAGCATTCAGAAGTTCTGGCAGCTCATAAATTCTTTCTTGCACCTGCATGAAGAATTGGAGTTCAGATGCTTCCCTGAAGCTAAATTTGTGCCAGACATATATGTATGGCAGCTTCTGCTTCATTTAAACCACTGGTTGGACAATGTGAAGCATCTGGATATTATCAGAGATCAGTTAAGTTCAGTAAACAATACACAGGTTAGCATTGCTCATATGGCAGCTTCTTCTGCATTTAACCACTGTTTAGACAATGTGAATCACCTGTTCATGAGAACAGAGGCTGTCATAAAGGCCCAGCACAGTTCAGGGATGACAAACACTCTCTAGTAGTCTATTGAAACCTTACAGCCCTCTCTTGTCACTAGGTGTCACTTTGCTTGGGTGTCAGATGGCACAGAGCAAAATTGTTTTGACTGAGGAAAATACATTTTCCTGGCTTTGTGAAATACTGAGATCAAAGCAAGCTTTATTTAAAAGAATTTTGTCATTCTTCCGAAAAGTAGTATGAAATTCATCATCAATAGTTTTCTTGATGTTAAGGTTCACGACTGGGTTGTGGAGGCTGATGGTTTTTCGAAGATCCCTTTCTTCCCTTTCTATACCACAAGGAAAAATACTGCATGGGCTCTCAGGGGATAAATCTGGTTATATCTGACTGACATAAAGGCATTATGATTGCAAAGACTGTATAAAACCCCCAACCTAATAATTTCTTTCAGTCTCTATTTGGCACACAGATGGAACTTTTCCACACCTTAAGTGTAACTAAATGAGATGGTCACATTCTGAATTCAGTAGGATGTTAACCAAATCATATCCAAAACCAACTTACCCCTTGGAAGCAAGGTTCCTTTAAGGTTTTGAAATGCTTACCTCTTGGAACTGTATTAAGATTATTTCTTTCCACTGACAACACTTTTAAAGCAGGCAGGAGATGATCAGCTTGTGCCTGTGTAGGTAAGTCCAGTGTAAGGGTGCGGATGGCATTACCATCGAGGATTAATGTTTCTAAAGCAAGTAAATTCCTACAAGTAGTTAAGGAGAGTTCAGAAATCACGTTGTTACTGAGATTCAGGTGTTTTAGCATCCATTCTTTGTTTCTTCCGCTGGTGCACAGGAAAGTTTTAATATTATTGTAACTAAAATCAGCTGTTATTGCTGTTTGTGAGACAGCCTCTGGAATGGTAGATATTCCGGTAAAAGAACAGTTCAGTAAGAGCTCCTCACCCCACCGGCAGTCTGAATGGTGACGTGCATCAAGAAGATTCAGCTGTGACTTGGATCCCGCTGCGCCAGGAAGATGACAGTAAAGGACCACAGCTATGACACTCAAGTGAAGGTTATCCATAGTATCTGTATGTAAAGTGTAGAATGACGGCAAGTTCAGCATAACAAGAGTTAAAGAGAAAGCGGAAATACTTTGACATTAAACAAAACCAACACTGAACAAATAATGAAGCATTAACAATGTTCTGCCTTAAACATTCCGGTTTGGAGTCCTAGGTACTTTTCAAAAAGAACAGTCATTAACTGGTAACCTTCCCCCTCCCACCACCTCTCCCAAAAATCAGTCCCAACCTTGTCTTTTTTTTCCGGCCCTTCAGTGGGGAAACAGCTTCACAGGAACCTGTGAACTAGCAATAGTCAAGACTTTTGAACTCTACTTCAGGAATCATACACAATTACCACTGAGCAAAGTCCACCAGATACAATCCATGACAAATACATGTGGTATGATTTTCATACTTACAGTTAATAAAACTAGTTTCCCTGTTGATAACACAACAATGTGTTTCTAATGACAAACTATATTCTTACAAATAACACTTCCAAACCACAGCTGCATCTTAAGAATTTATTGTTTCATTTCAAAACAAACAGTTGAAATTCAGTTGGTTTTCACCTATTGAAACAACCACCACCTTTACCTGTGCTGAGAACTCTTCACATCTAAGTTGTTTCAACGTACCCAGTATGTTATTTTACACAGAGGCACGTAGAATGTACTTGGAACACACAGAATCTTAAGTGCATCTGGGGGAATGAAATAATGACTGTGCCACACGATGTTTTAAATACATACAGAAAAATGTACCTCAGGCAATTAGAAGAAAACAAGCAAATAAATGCACAACATAAGGCATGTGTGGTGCCAACATTTCTCAAACTGTGTAGTGAAGGCAACAAAATATATTAGCAGTACATAAATAGTGGCTTACAAAATGGTAATTTACTTCATTTGGTTTTTGTATGATCAGTTTTGCTACACGTTGACAAAAAGATCCACACCAAGCCTCCAGCCCCTGATTTAAGAGTACCTTTGTGAGAAATCTCCCTGCTGTGTTGCAGACAGTATTTTAAAAAGAACTCTCGATGAGGAATCCAACACTAGCAAATAGGCATGTCAGCATTAACCAGACAGATAAAAGATTTAGTATGCTCTTCGTTTATAAGCTACTCTCTGAGGCAGTACCTATCTGTTGTTTTCAAGATCTATTTCAGCTTTGAGGATACTGCTGCTTATATTTTTATGTGTGTGTGTGTGTCTCTATATTTTATATATACAAAAATAAAGTAACCAACTTCCATTAGCATGAAAGTTCTCAAAATGTTACCGTTTACTTCCTCCTCTTACCTGTGACAGACACTGAGGCACTGCTTAGCAGCAAACGTGTGTGCATGGTTTTAGCAAAATGTGTGTTGAAGTGGTTAATAAATATTAACTCTAGTAAAATTAAGAAGTTCATGAAGGCAGTTTGCAAAATGTTAGTACTTTCCCATAATCTCTAATGTGAGCAATTCAGTGGCTTTTGTTACGGTTTACTGTGTTCTGTTCTTGTTAGAACAGCTCCACTGCTGTCCACCTCCCAAAACCCCAACAACTATCGAGCATCAAACTCTGGTTTTGCCTTTGGGCAATGAAGGAAACATGACTACTCTGACCTCCTGTGTGGTGTAATGCCTGTCCGAAGGATCCCCCTCGAGAAATCCCTTCCAGCCCTACGCCTCCTGAGTGAGGACATACTGACTTCTAGTAAATACAGGAAATGCGACCCTGGATACAAGGTTCCTGTTGCAACAGGAGCTGGTTTGTATTTTGTAGAATTCTATGTACTTTTGAGAGCAGCAAACCAGAGGCAGACAGTCCCTAACAAATGACCAACTCTGAAGTTAAAGTGTAACATTTGCACAACTTTTAGGAAGAGAAGCTTGTGCTTATCTAGAAAAAACTGTCAAAAAGCTACTTGCAAGTCACCTTTGAGGCCTCCATTATTAAGATTACTTGATGCTACTGCAAAATAAAACTATTTAAACTGAAGATACACACAGGGTGGGGAAAGGACGAATCTTACAATGAGCTGGTCTATTTTTAGCACAGAACACCTTACCTCTGCAAAAGCAATTAAAAGGCTGTAATAGTTTCTGTAAGGCCTCAGTTCTCCATAGACGCTATTGCCAAATTCAGATAGACAAGTATTTACTCTGCAGACAGGATCCCCTGCCATCACATTCAGAATTACAGCCGTGCGGTTTAACCTCAGAAGTTAATTCTGAGGGTCTTGGTAACGTGTCAGTACTGAGATTGGCAGAGAAAAAGAGATCTGATCTCAGACACTGCTGCAACAGTCATGCTTTAGATTATTACCTACTGAAAAATGGATTCAAATGCAGTTCACACTAAAGCACCCAGGAAAACACCTTTTTGGGTGGTGAGCAAGTTACAAGCACATCTTTAAAAATGTACTTCTAATATAAGCATGTTTTATAAATACTTAACGTAAACTAAGCACCTGCAGAATGCCTAAACGGCACAGACACAATGGGAGCTCAGGTACCACTTCAGTAATCACAGGACTGTTTCAAAATTGAAGTTACATTTCCACACCTGATATTACTTTGCAAATATTATCTATGCTAGCATAATTTCTTTTTTAAACTACATGAGAATATATGGCAGAATAATGCAATATTCTAAAGTCAATCTGCCACTACCCCTCTCTTAGTACCCATATGGTAAACCACATCATTTTTGGGAAAATCATTATTATCAACCTTTGGCAAGAAATGAAGAGAAGACAAAATTCTGCCAGTAAATCCACTTTCAACA